ATTCTACTGGTAGAGTCTCTAATCCAAATAACCATTTTTATTTGATGATCAATGTCTAGCTAAATTTGCACTGCATACTAGTCCTCTGTAGTATTGTATTAAAAGACAACTAAATTGATTTATCAGATAGTCAATGTAATTTTGTTCAGTTTTTTTTTATGCAAAAGAAAAGTCTACAATACAATACAATACAATACAATACAATACAATACAGAATCAGAGACAACCAGTAAAAACTCTGATCGGCGTCTCTACGGGTAGAATCTGAGATTCTACCAGTAGAAACTGCAATCGGAGACTCTACTGGTAGATATACACACACATGTGTATATATGTATATATATATATATATATATATATATATATATATATATATATATATATATATATATATATATATATATATATATATATTATATATGGCAGTGTCACCCTTGCCTGATTGAATGCCCTTCCTAATCAACCGCGGTCCAGTGAGCTGATACGTGTGCCACGGCGGTGGCTTCCCCTATGACACCTGCGTTTGACTTCTCAAGTCTTTTAGGGCTCAGGACAATAGTTAGAGCGCAAGCATTTTTTACGACCGCCGCGACGGGGAATTGAACTCTGGACCATAAGGGCCGGAGTCCAGTGCGCTAACCATTGGACTATATATATATATATATATATATATATATATATATATATATATATATATATATATATATATATATATATATATATATGTATATATATATATATATATATATATATATATATATATATATATATATATATATATATATATATGTATATATATATATATATATATATATATATATATATATATATATATATATATATATATATATTTATTTATTTATTTGACTTTATATGTAAATAATTTCAGCCGATCTTTTATTGTCAATTTATCCAATCATATTTACACTGTAGCCTAAACTGATAGAGCCCCCACTGCTGTGTGGTCGCTATCTATCCCAAAATGTTTAAGCAGTAAATTATATTTTAGAAAATGTGCATTTGTTCTTGTTTTTTTTCAGGTACCCCGTAGACTTGCAGCCTACAGACTAAGAGAATGGCACACTATCTAACAAGCAGAAAAGTAAGGATCATTTGTATCATAGATGAGTTTCGATTTGACAGTAAAGTTTACATAAAGCTCTCAGCTCTCCACATGTTGCACAAAATTTCCTAATGACTTTTGGATAACATTATTTGTGCACTGGTAAACAAATCTACGATACACTAAAAAGAACATTATTTCGGAATGACTTATTCAACAGCAACATTATTGGAAATATTTTAGCCTATTCCTAACGTTAACACATGTACTCTGCGGAAATACACTGGCGTAGAATTTTACGATTATCATTGGACGTAGAAATCATCTGCCATGTGGTATTACTCTCGGTCTTGAGACAATGGTCGGGGAGAGAGAGGGCAAAAAAAAAATGCATCTTTAAACTCTGCAGTGCCGGAAAACAACACTTTTTGCGCTTAGCTGAGAAAAGAAAGAAAAGAAAAAAAATACATGTATATACAGGTACATGAGATGGAAAACTACGTTTTTCAGCTTAGTAGAGCCAGAAAAGTACACCATTACACTTTCAGAAAAATGTGAGCGAGAATGAAGAATTATACAGTGCATGTAATTCATAAATCTATCTCTTGCACTAATGCTATTATTAATTCTTTGGAAAACTACACTTCTACAGTCAGTACAACCGGAAAACTACACCCTTACATCTAGCATGGCCGAAAAACTTCTTTTACATTTAGCCGAGCTGGAAAACTACTCTTCTACACATGTCTTTTGCATATAGTTTGCGCAAAGAAATGTACTCAAGTAACAACTAAATATCAGTCCTTCCCAAGAAGACTGACATGCCAGTAACCTCCCTGCCCCTTAACTTACTGAAGTTACGAATATGAAGAAAAGCTAGGAAACTATTACTCAGACCCTCTTCCTCCTCTACATTTTACTTTATGTGCCAAGATTACTTACTGAAACATTGTTTTTTTTCAATTACTAAGGTGTTGCTCTCTCTTCCTACCTTTTTTCTGAAACAGAAGAGTGAGGGACAAAAGGACAATGGATTCATATATATTCACATATTTGAAAAAAAGAGATGGTGGGATAAAGAAAGGGAAAGCGAGTCAATTACATTTACTTATCATGAAAACCCGGGGGTCCATGGATGGATTACAGAGGCTCCATGAAGATCAGACTAAAAATTGCTTTTATAGTAGTTTTTTATGTTTGTTTCCTTTAAAGTTTAATGATAATTTGTATCTCATATATGTATGAGATAAACAAATTTCAATAAATAAAATACAATAAACATTCAATACAAAGTTGTATTTATGTGAATATTTCTGGGGAAGCTATCATCAGATTCTTAAAGGTGTCTGGGACTCTAAAACGATTAAGAACCACTGGCCTAAAGTATTATAAAAAAATATTGTAAATGAAAAGTCAGCTGAGTAAGAAAACACTGAATTTCAATATACTGATAATTTTATTGATATATATATATATAGTGCACATTTCTTATAACAATACCACTTGGGAATTATCTCCTTTGGCTAAATGTGAAATCTTACATAAGTGAATTATAACCAAAAAGAAAAATAATATAATTCTACTGAAAGCCTAACAACACAGAAATTTAAAACAACCTATAATCATCTTTTTTCTGTGTCTATGACACTCAGAAAAACAACAACAGAAAACAGTTACATCTGCCTGAATAAAACATTCATATTGTTTATGCCAATAAATAGTACAACGCAATGCTCTCCTAAGTGAACAGCGACGTGGAAATGACAATGTGGGAGAAGATGCTCTTAGGGGCAGGTCCTGTTCTCTGCGTCCTCATTTCCTCCATGATCTCAGCAACGCGTTGTCTCACATCCAGACGGCCCAAGTCCCCACGCAGCAGTAATAGGGCAGTGAGATGGTCGCTTGTCATATCGGGGTACCTGCAAATATTTGTGGATAATGTAGGGCATGTGGTGAAAAAGACATGAAGTGACAGAAAGCATGAATAATATCAGGTTCCTTGAAGGATTCCTAGAAACAACTTACCTACAACTTTATAGATGCCTAGAGGGCTTTTTCTTTTTTTGATAATTCTCATTACTAATGATGATACTCTTAAAGTACCTCTAAAATTATTGATGATTATAATGATGCTTTATGATAAAAATGATAAAGTTTATGCTGATGGTGATCATGATGTCCTGCTGATAATGATGACAATGATACTAATTATGTGAAGATTAAGTTACTGATAATGATGACTCTTAATACAATATTCCTTTCTTGGGAAATCAAAAGACACAAACAGATAAATGCCAAACCTCCTTAACAGCCTATGCAGCTCAAGTCCGAGGAATTCCACATCTGAAACTTTTATGACTTCTGCTAAGCTCTTCATGACCTCGCATGGTGAGTCAAACTTGGCTAGGTCTGGGGCCGCTTGCTCAAATACACTAGACAGCTTTGCTGCTTCCTGGATGCAAAAGAAAACAAAGGAAAAATATGTAGAAGTGAAAAAAATATTCAAGCAATAAATAGATAAATATATACATTCATGTGTGTGTGGGGCAGGGTACCTGTGCACATTCAAAGAATACTACATGGTAATATCCAAGTCCTGATTTATATAACACAATAAATCATATATATAGTGAACAGTCACTAGATTCATTTTTTTCATCTTTTTACTATAATATAAGAGTAACCTCAAAAAATATACATATTACTTTAGGATAAGCAAGATAAATAAATATTCCTCCTCTTGCTAGATTCTGAGTTTGTATTCTAACAGTCATCGAGACCTGTTATCAACTTCTGTCAAAAAGTTTATTGAAGCTAGATTTCTCATATTTCTCATATTTCTAATATTTTGTATGTTTTTAAAATTATTATTCCCCCTACACCCCCCCAAAAAAATCTCCTGATACTCTCACTCTCTTCACAAAAAAAGTAAATAAAATGACAACAATTAAAAAGTAATTATAGAATAAGATGCATAACAAAACATATACGAACAATATTAACCACCAAACTACTTACTCCTATTATTCTGTCAGCAACCATCTTACGATCCTCCTGAATCTTCAGCGATATTCTCTTTTGCAAAATGGCAGTTGTGTAGCGCATTGCAACAGTATTCAGAGCTATCTGAACCACATGATCAAAGTTCCTTTGCAAAAGAAGACAATGAAAAATAAAATGAATGAAAAAGCAAAATAATTCTTCATTTTTCTGTTTTCTTTTCTCTACACTAACTGCTATCACCATTTATTGCTATCACCACTTATTATTCATTCTCATTACTTCCTACAGACTCATTTGTAATAACAATTCTAATTAATTCAAAACATGAGCTTCATGAAAAGAATAATGACTGAGCATCATAAACCACACATACTTCTGGTACAGGTGCTGGTAATCTGTGAAATAATCAGAGAGTGTGAGGCAGATGGTGTCCATGGGCTCGGTGTTGTTAAGCCAGCGTGGAGTCAACAGGGTATTAAACTGTTCCTGAAGGTCGACCAATGCCTCTTCAAGTAGATGATCGCACAAGAGCTCTCTCAAGCGCTGCAATGGTATCAGAGCAAACAATGTGATTTTGTACTGATTGAAGGAGTGATGTGATGTGATGAGCTTTCTAAAGGGAATCTGCCTTTTACACATTCACCAAACTAGACTCTGAAAATTTTCTGCGATGATTTTAATGAATGAATACAAAGTGTTAGCTTTTGCCTTAATAACAGGAAAAAAGTGGATATATCATCAAAAACTGAAAGTTTATATGTGAAATGAGTTACTGTACTGACTGTAAACACAACTTGAAATTCATGTGATATAATATATTACCTTTTTTTTTATATGCCAAACTTAAACCAAAGATCTTTTCTTCTAAACACGAATCATACATTATTTTCTATATAACAAGGTAACATTCATTTTTTTTCATAAATGCTTTACCTGGTACACGGTCAGCAGAGCATCAAATTCTGTGGCTATTTTTGCATCAGTCTGAGTCGATCCCCCTGGCTTCCAAAACTGAGACTTAATATCAAGCATCACGCCAACTAATCCCTGACAGCCATTGGCCAGAGCAATGTTATAGGTTGTGAAGTATTGGATCTTGGGGGGAAAACAAGAAAAAATAATTGAGTTCTGCTGTTAGGAAAAAATTTTTTATCCTATCACAGAGTACTGTTTAGCAAGGCTTGCACACAATGACATACCAAACATATCAGCTTATATATCAATAAAACTGCTCCAGTATTTATACATTAATTCAGAGGTTATCAGGAATGATTAATTAACTAGCTAGCTTTTTGCCAAGACTGTGTCAGATACAATGGAGACTAACAAAGATGCAAAATGGCAATGGGGACCAGATCAAGTAAAAGTTTTTTCCCAGATTAAGGAGTTATTGACAAGTACACCAAAACTGGCATATTATGACCCAAACAAACCTTCAACAATTCAATGAGATGCAAGTCAGAAAGGACTTGGTGCAGTTTTATTACAAGATGGCAAACCGATATGCTGTGCTAACCGAGCTGTAATTTTGACTGAGACAAGATATGCTCAAATAGAGAAAGAGATGTTAGGAATTATTTGCAAGAAAAAAGAGGGGGACAAGAGTTTGAAAATATCATTGCAGTATAACCTCTTCCCACACTTGTTAATTCTCTGAAATAAAGAATCACAACACTTCGAGTCTGGTCTATTCTTGCCTCCAAATGCTTATTATGGAATAGACAACGACTAAACAAAACAAAAACCAGTGGAATATGTATGACTCAAAATAAGGTCACCCTATACCTTTGATCTGTCATTGTAATAGGTGTCCTTGTATCTTGTCACCGCTGTCTGGAATTTGGCTGCAAAGAGACGAACTTGCACCAAGCTTGATATCAGGACTTGAACTTGCACCTCAGGACTGTCAATTGCATTATGGGGCAAAGAGAAGCATGATTTTTAGTTTGTTGGTTTGTTTTGAGTGAATGTTTTATCATTATTACCAAATTATCATATATCTTTCATTGATCCCAATCCAAAATTTATCATTTTTAATAATCTATTACTTACTATAATAATTTCAAAATGATATTCTGCAGAAGAAAGCTCAAACATTTCTTCAATAGTTTCCTCACCTTATGGTACCAGCTACTTCCAGGTTCTGACGGATCATGTCATGAATCAGCTGTGGAAGTTCCGTCTTATAATGAGACTCAGAATCTTGCTGAGGTGGTTCGTCACGGTACCATTCCTTCTCCTCCAACTCTAGGGCTCGACCCATCCAAGAGTCATAGTTGTTGTTGACATTCTGTGGAAGATAAATGCAATATGATTTCGGAGGTTAAGGTCATTTCTTAGACTGGTAGGAGTTTCTAAAAGCCTGTGATCATTGCATCAGTTGCAAGGTTGAACATTTAGACAACACTAGATGATCCTAAAGAGTGCAAAAAAGGGTAGAGTAAAAGAATGAAAGAGGGAGTAAAAAACAAAATAAATCAAACAAACACACAGGCAAATGCAAAACACACTAACACATGACTCAAAAGAATGAAAGAGTAAAACAAACAACCATTACAAACCTGTAGGTACTTTGATATGAGGTCTTCTAGTACTTTATTCTCCAGTAGAGGCCCCAGTTTTACCACATTGATATTCAGCTGGGGATGAGACATGAGTTCCTTCCCGCCGTATACATTGAGCACCCAAGACAGGAGGGTCACATATTCATTATCCTCTAGGCCTCTTTCGACTATCTCCACCAGCTGGAAATAAATGGCAATGCATGGACTTTCCTGGAGTTACAGCAAATTGATTCTTATGCCAAATGCTTAAGAGAAAGTATACACGTTAAATAAGTTTAGTAAAACATCTACAAATATTATGGGAGGTACAAATACTTAGGTGCCCGTCAGCACTACATACGTGGTTAGACAAGCTCTTATGGTACATCTGAACGTATCTGTTGACAATGTCGTAGTGTGGAGGGAAGCATGGTACACACAGTGACTTGATGACTTTCATGTCCTCTAATAAGAGGAGGCGAATAACCTGTGGGGTAAAGAGAGATTGTGCATGATAACCATCCTTAGCAGATTTATCCTTTGAAAGTTGCAATTATAAAACTTCTAGGAAAATATTTTTTATTTCATCTTCTCTACATTGAAGAAAATGTTTCACTATGCTCTAGAAAACAGGAAATATAACCCCTGATATCAGTTCAAGCAAAGAAAACAATCTACATTTCAGAGAGATATCAGTAATAAAATTATTATTTATATTACTGTTTCAGAAAGAACCAAGTGGGTTGCATGATTTGTAACTAGCTTTCAAATAACTTACTTCTGGGAAAAGGCAAAAAATTTTATTTACTCACTCACACACACACACACACACACACACACACACACACACACACACACATACATACATACATACATACATACATACATACATACATACATACATACATACATACACACACACACACACACACACACACACACACACACACACACACACACACACACACACACACACACACATATATATATCAAATAAGAAATGGAAGGGAGAACCCATCAAACACACCTCCAGATGCTTAATCAACCAATTTTTACTTGTCTCTCTGTCCTCAAACTGTCCTCCCTCAATACGCTGCGCTGCAGAACTCTCCAAGACTGCAAATGCCTTCTCCCGCCACTTCTTTGGGCGCCGGGGAGGCAAGAACCCTGATCCCTTCTGGCGCTGAGAGATAAAAAAAAAAATGAATTTGGGTTAAAGGAGGAGGCAAGAGGAGGGCCTTCACTGTAATCAATCTTGTTCTGAAATATGCATGAATCATAAGACACATTATTGTGATTTTTGAAGAATTCTGAGAAAATTTTGATTTTGATGATCTAAATTATTACATATGTGTAAATACACAAATACTGTCATTATGTTAAGCAGCTGTATTTACCTAACTCATTTCTAGAATAAAGCTTAGGTCTATCCTTGTAAAAGTCTTGTATATATACAAGCATGTCATATGCTTATCATAAAAAAAAAAAAAAAAAAAAAAAAAAAAAAAAAAAAAAAAATATATATATATATATATATATATATATATATATATATATATATATATATATATATATATATATATATATATACATATACATACATATACATATACATATACATATACATATACATATACATATATATATATATATATATATATATATATATATATATACATATACATATACATATACATATACATATACATATACATATACATATACATATACATATACATCATATACATATACATATACATATACATATACATATACATATACATATACATATACATATACATATACATATATATATGCAACTTTTATCTTTATAAGCTGTATACCAACAATATAGTTAAAACTGATTTACCTGCAAAGCCGACTGATCAGTCATTTCCTCACGTTCAACAATTCTCAGTGCAGTAACAATCTGGGTAGGTTCCTTTCTGACAGTGTTTAGTGTACGCTGCAGGATAATCCAGACTTGTTTCCCTGAAATTGGACTCTTATCTTAGAACTTCTCTTCTTACAGACAAACAATGAGTGGTATATCACATATCTATCAATTATTATAAAACAAAAGAAAAAAACATTCAATGAAAAACAAAACCTATTCAAAGCCAAACAAACCAAGATCATCTGAGAGCTTCTGCACATCAGCAAATGACTCTTTCAGGACACGCGTATCATTTGGATTCTGATGAGGGAGTTTGTGCAGTTCAAATAGCAACTCATCTCTGCTATTCTCCAAGTCCATTAGGCACTGAAAGCATTTAATATCTATTACTTTAAGAACATATTTGAGCTGGACCAAATACAGGTACTGTTTCCCTACTAAGCTATCTTCCAACTTTTCCATAATGATACATGGCTAAGTGATGTACAGTATGGCGCAACTATATCAAACTATATCCATATATAAGTAAGAAAGACCATAAATAACATACCTGATGAGCATACAATAGCTTCCCATCATTAATCCATTTATAGGTTTTCTCAACAGACTCTGGCACAGTGAAGATATGTTTGAGGTTTTCCATGGCAGCCAAATATTGCGAGTACCTGACATACTCCTCTCGGCATTCATAAAGCTGATTGCTCAGTTCAGGTACACGAACTAAGCTTGTCTCTATTTCAGCCATCCTGTAGCAATAAATCATATTTCTCAGGAAAGAAAAATTGTGTAATTAGACGAAAAAGCTAATCCTAGAAAAATATGTTGATATTTATCTATCTATTCATCTATCTATATATACATGGATTCTCTATGTTTTATCAATACACAAACACAGTTATACTTATGTCCTCTTATGTCTTTAAGAATGATGAATTTATACTTGCCCTGTCTTTATCTCTTTGAGGTCTGTCAGGGCTGCCTGTAGTTGTCCTAAACCAGTACGGACTCCATCAAGCTGGCTTTGCATGGCAGTCTTCAACATGGCCTCAACAGATGCCTGTTGGTAATATATGTATAACTCCATTCATATATTTAAATTTTCATCTTGATATGCATTTACCAATCTCTTTTATAGTTTATAAAAGTAACTGCTTAGTGTGCTGATGTACCACATCTGCATTGGATTGTAAGATGTGTATCCTTTAAATATGTCAGCCTCCTTTACAAAGGTTTTAAATTTCAGCTTCACAGTATTTTTTTCTGTATTACCCCAAAATGTGTTTTATTAGTATAAACCATATATCACTCGCATAAGAAATAATCTTTTTAGCATTGTGATACAAATCATATTAATATGCATGAAACAGGTAAAGATTATTTGTAAATAGGTGAAACTACAGTTCTACTCCAAATGGGACAATTTAAGAAGTTCCAAAGCAATAAACTTTGTACCTCACAGTTGAGTACATAAGAGAATGAATCACACCTTCTTCCTCTGGACTCGTCTCCTATACTGGTCGACCTTTTGCAACTGGTCTGGCCGCTGGAGCATATTTGCCACGAGAAGGGAGGCTCTGGCAATAGCCTCAGACTCTGCTTCACCGACATCCATTTTTTAGTTATTGTTAAGCTGCAAGGTAAGAAAATGTGGTAAAAGGGATTAGGTATACTATGAACTTCACAAATACAGAATAAACATTTTCTAACTAGGCTAAATATGGAAAAATAGTCTGATAGCAATTTTTGGGGGTACACTTTGTTTTACTAAAAGCTCTCACAGTGTTTCAAATGAATCCAGCACTCCTTCCCAGAGCAGCTGAATCATAGCTACATTACTATCCCTGTTACTTGGAAAGAGCATAATAAGTGCCAAATATTATGGAGTAAAGGTGAAAGGTTGATGTAAATCATTTAATAATCTAGTTATTACTATACAACTTAAGGAGGTTTTAAGGAGGGTTCTGTCTCCCTAAATCATTTTCCAAGGTCTACCCTTCTCTAATCCCTGCCTGTTTTGTTCTGGTACGATTAAGCCTGAGCAAATAGCTTCGGTGACACATTTTCAGCATTTTGGAGCCTTGAACCCTTAGACTTCCAGGATGTTATTTTCTATTGGATGGTTGGGTCGGATTCTTCCATCTCAACAAATCTAATGTATTGATTTTAAAATGTGTGTATAGTTTATATTATCATACCTTCTATAATTATCTGGTCCAGTATCAATGCCATTATTTATTTCCACGGATTAAAGCTATTATACCTGGAAATTAAAGAACAAAGGCAATCCACCTGTACCAATTTCGTAAACCTTTGTACATAATTACTCAGTTATTGTTTCAAAAGTTTTGTCTCTGCAAATACATGAAAGTTTCGTCACTGTGCAATTAATTCCGACTAGCTAATAAAGACGAGATCAAATAAAATCCTATGTGTTCTCATCCACTTAAGAGAACATACAGACTCGACATTTTCATAAGATAATTACCTTCTGTTCCCGAAATCAACTAGGAAATAGAGAAACTCATTTTTTTCGGGCGGATGACACTTCACGCAGGAACACTCCCACCGTAATGAAGAAACGTAAATACCCGAAGTGATTTTAATTTTGTGTAATTATTTTTTCTTATTAGCTTTAATTCATTTATATGCCTATTCATATTATGTGTATAGTTATAATATAGTAATTTAAATCTTTAAGGGATTTCTACGATACACAAAATATATTCTTTGATTCGGAAATATGGATTCCAATTTAGGCACATGAGCGTTCGAAACTAATCATGAGGATAGAACTTCATTTTATTTTTATCATACTTTCTCAATATATGGCAATATCTGTATACCTATATACAATCATTACCATATCTTTCAGTTTTTTCCTTGCTAAAAACATCATTAAGCTTATCTATAAAGTAACCTTAACTTAAAAAGAAATATCTCCCACTGAAGGTCGCGTTCGGACGTTGAAGGTTCATGTGTAGAAGAAAAACATCTTCGGTCGGAAAGTCGTATATTTTTCCTTTATTATTTTGTAACTTTATTGGTCTGGTTGAGTTACTGTTGTTGAGAAGTGCATAGAGCTATATTGGTTCTGTAAGTTGTATATGAGGTTAACATGTCTATATAAAGGATACATAGTTGTATAATTAAAGTTGACAGGTGTCATTGATGTTACCGGCAGCCGGTCAGATTAATACATTAGTAATTATAAGTGAAACATGTAATTTACAATGAGATTGTTATTAATGAGTACTTCTAGTATTCAATAGACGTCTAAAAAGTAGTATAGTATGTAGGGAATAAGATATCAGAATGAACATTAGCTATTGAGCAAATATTTCTTTATCTTTCTAGGAAACGATTATGATGATGGCGATACTTGTAGTTGTCATCTTATTTTTGGCGTTTATATTGTTACGCATAGGATACACCCTATACGTCATGAATTGCTGCAGCGAAAAAGCTATATATGTGCAGAGGTCCATCAAGTCACTTATAGTATTGGGGTCCGGAGGTCATACTGGGGAAATGCTCAAAATCATTCGTGCACTGGACACACACCGCTACAGCCCGAGAGTGTATGTGGTTGCTGCAACGGACACTGTCAGTCTGAGACGTCTGCAAGATATGGAGAAAGAGTTTAAGGTTTGTGGATAGCTTCTGCAGTATATATGCTTATGAAACTGCTGGAATTGTAATATGAATTATAATAATTTGATGTATTGAGTTATGTTTTTACTTGCATTATGTATGTTTGAATGCCTAACATGAAGTGCATTTTGTTCCAAGTTATATCATAGTGACCATAAACTACATTTGTTATTTGCATTGTTTTAGAGTAGACTGAACTGCATTAGTAAATTCTTAAGCTTTTGCTCACAAAAATTAAAAGATATATACAGGAAAACTGGAGTCTACCAGTACAAGTATATAATTTATAGGAGTGCAAACAATCATCAGGTACTTTATTCCAGGAAAAAGCCAAAGGACCTGAAGAAGAGAACCAGTATGTAGTTGAGGTTGTGCCAAGATCACGTGAAGTGGGTCAGTCATGGCTGTCAAGTGTTTTCACAACAGCTTGGGCCTTTGTCTTCAGCATGTTTATTGTTTTTCGACATCGGCCATCACTCCTACTCACCAACGGACCAGGAACATGTGTTCCAATTTGCATTGCAGCTTTCTTGATGAGAGTTTTATGTCTGTGTCATATTCGTATTGTCTTCATAGAGAGTCTGTGCCGCGTGCTGTCTCTCTCTCTCTCAGGCAAGATTCTTTATAGGCTTGTTGACGATTTCTTTGTACAGTGGCCACAGCTTAAGGCTAAGTATCCAAGGTCTATATACATGGGTCGTTTGGTGTAAGTTAAGGATTCTTAGTGAGTACATGATTTCTCATGAGATTTATGTTTTGAGAATCTAAGTGCCTTGCTAATTATAATTATGTTTCACTGATCTCATAGAATATATGTAATCTAGAGCAACAAGTTGTTTTGATTCTTGCCTGTTCTTTGTAGAATTGATAAGCAGTATATGTTTGATAAAAAAAAAAGTGTAATAATTGTTTTTTAGAAAAAATCCAAATGAGAGAAAATCCACCCGAAAAATAGCAAAATAACCAACTGAGTGTTCATATCTTGTCCCTTCAGTAGTAGAACTGCAGACAGGAACAACTAAATATGAAATGCAATTCATCAACAGCTAAAGATAACTTTTTAATATTACATTAATACCATTCAGTTTGATTTCCGGTTATATTGGCTTAACACCCAAAAGGCCAATTGATTTAAGAATAATAGCAGTAAGAAATATTTTCATAACATGCATTACTGTTTACCCTCTTTGGCTTTTCTCTTTTACACAAGAGGTGCTATCTAAGATCTTAGTGTCCCCTTTGCCGGTTTGTTTCTTAAAATCTTGTTTATATAAAGGTCCTTCTTGATTCTCATGACCAGTCCTTTTAACATATCTAAATTTAGAATATTAGTCCATTAGAAAATAAAGAAAGTACACACATTTTATACCTTTTGTATTTTGCAGAAGTTATTATATATGCATTTTGATCTTGACTCACCAAGAATTCATTTTTGACAACATTTTATTATCATTATATTATTGTTATTGTTGGCAGCCCAGTTCAGTTTATTATAAATATAAGATGATTATTTTGTATTGAATATACATTCATATAGAGTGCTCCTATGTTAAATACATTAATATCAATGATTGTTCATGTACACAATTTTTTCCAGCAGATATTGATTAGTCAGATTAATGCCACTAATAAAAAAATCTAACTAGATATGAGTCATGTATGTAAGAATGAACAATTCAGATGTATTTGACTGGTTTCAATGAGATCTTCATCAGAAATGCATGTATTTCTGTTTCTGTCTCTCTGACTGACTGTCCTGTTTATGACAAGAACTGTGAAAACAGCTTGCTCAATGCCTTGTTGACTATGATGCAGTGGCAGTCTAGTGCTATACAATTCCTCCCAGAGGCCAATGAAAGTCCTGCACTAATATTGCTAATATTAGTTTCCATAGACATGACCTCCCCATGAAGGTTATATTGGTGGATTGTCATGCCCTGTCTGACCATACTGATCTCTTTCCTGTCAATGTTGGAAATGCTGGGGTTTTGTCCACCCAGCCAAACACTGTTGCTCCTAAGCCTATTACCCTCTATATGCCCAACCTGGTTATGACCATTCAAATTGCTCCACTGCCGTGTGCCAATTGTGATGGCTCCCATAATGTATGTCACAGGAGCTGCCCTGCCTACAAGCTCAAATCTGAGGTAGCAGTTCACAGATTCAAACTAGGGCTCACTCTATGTGAGGCCAGACAAGAAGTATACCAACAAAGTTTCTCTCTTCTACCTATTCGCTCTGCTCCCCTCCCATCTTCTCAAGAAGTCTCAGCATCTCCCCCAGTATCTCTTCCCTCAACCAACCTGTCTCTACTACCTCTCTCCCCCAGTCAAATACCTTTTCCAGTCTAAATCCAGATACTCCAATCTCTACCACTTCTTCAGTGCTTACTCCTCCCCCTCCCCCTCCTTCTCATTCTACCTGTTGTGCCAGACAATCTAAACATTCCACTCCATCTTCTACAACATCCTCTCCTAAACCCACCTCTCCCTTTGCTCCTCAGACATCTATTCCCTCTTCTCCTCCACATAAGAAAACCTTTGTTTCTCAGACCTCCCTACCCAACTCCCCTCCAGAAACTCTTGAAGCCATCCAAAAGTTCATAAACATGACTCAAGAGAATGATCCACTCCCTCTAATCCCTTTATTCCCTCTACATTCATAGTTTCTACCGATATCCATCCTCCTCCACCACAAGTTCCCTCTACCCCTCTTCCTCCCACTCACCCAAAAGACATCCCACCCTCTCCTCCTCCACGTGCATCACCATTCCATCTTCCTTCCCCATTATCTTTACCTCCCCACTTAGATGTTCACAACAATGTCCTTCTGTGGATCCCTCCCCTCCTGACATTCTTCCTGATAGTTCACCACCTTCCACTGCTCCCTTATTTAATTCTCAGGATTCTCTACTTTGATTGTTTCATAATAACTCTTTTGTAGTTTTCTCATAGAGTGTTACTCTCCCTTCCTCAGAAACATACTCTCCATTTGCCCTTTACCACATCCTCTTTTACAAATCCCCACTGTATTCCATTTACTTCCCCTCAATATCCTTTTCACTTTCTATCCTACAACTCTTGACATCTAACACATCTTATCCTGGTCATTAACTCAATTCCACCCTTTTCGTCACAATACTTTAACATAGTGCGATATGACCTTTGATGTCTAGCACATTTATTTCTTCTAACCATGAACTATTAATCATTACTATGTCATGCCAGTTGGTTTTCATGAAGGTATTTCCATTTTTGATGCCATATGGCAACTTCTATGTCCATTTCTATCCTATTTTTTTGAAAAGCAATTAACATTTGTTTCCTCTTATATTTGGTGCCTATCCCGTGGTTCCCAACTGAGTTTCTCCAATCGTTTTACCTACCTTGGCATTAAAGTCCACCTTAACTATTGCAAAATGGGCATTTGCTCTATTACTGGCTATTTAAACGTTTGAGCTTTCTCATCACTGGCTGTAGGCTGGGACTTATATTTGAACAATCTAAAAGTTCTACCAATTGTTACGGACGCTATTTTTTCGCCCACTCTATAGAATTCTTTGATATTATTTTTGAGGTGTTTGTGAACTAAGAAACCAATCCCTAATTCTTGTTCGTCATCTTGAGGTTTACCTCTCAAATAAAACACACGTCTATCCGTTTAATATCTTCCCTAGTTTCCTAACTTCACAGAATCATACATCCTGCTTATTGGAGGAGAGTTCTCCAAGCAATGTTAGTTGTTCGGATTCTGTTCCCATAGTCCTTGCATAATATGTGCAAAGATTCAGCAACCTCTGCTCTAGAGCTATCCAAATCGCCGCCGTAACCAGGGGTTTCTTCATTCCCGGGGAACGAGGGCAGTTGCTGTCGTGTTCAAGATCTGTGTAAGTACTTGGATAGACCTTGGTTGTCTTCATTCAGGAGAACAGCCAAAGACAACCTACATGATTTAGCCGGGATGCTATCAGAAGACTCTCAAGCAAGGTTGAACCTGTCTAGCATGGGCTGTATAGTAGTAGCATCACTGTATACGCAAGTGAGCATGGGCATACATTCCAGTAAATGCATACGTGAGTGTATGTGTATTAGATACACCCACACCATGCGCGCATATGTCAAGTGCACTTATGTGAATGTATGCAGATGCTATGCTAGCCCGCACATGCATTCCAAACACAAACACACACGCACGCACGCGCGCGCGCGCGCGCGCCAGGTGAAGACGGAATTAGTATAGATCTTATGATAGACACAGGAGAAATTGCAACAGTAAAACTAGGCAATCTTTTTAACTGACAAATACCTTCCCAATGGAAAAACTACGAAAGCCTGGAAAAATGCAACAAGTATTTTGATACATAAAAAGGGGACAGAAAGGAACTAAAAAAAACATAAGCCTCCTTTCAGTTACTTACAAACTGTTCACAAAAGTCATCACAACTCGCATCTCTGGCAGTCTGGATTCTAACCAGCCGAGAAAAGAGGCAGGCTTTCGCAGTGGAGTCTCAACAACAGACCACATCCACGCAATCACCCAAATAAGAAAAAAATGTGTATTGCATTCATCGATTACGAATAGGCATTTGACTCTGTGCTAATACCAGAGGTACTAGAAGGAGTAATATATATGTGTGTGTGTGTGTGTGTGTGTGTGTGTGTGTGTGTGTGTGTGTGTGCGTGTGTGTGTGTGTACATATACATATGCCTCTCGATACATATATTATATATATATATATATATATATATATATATATATATATATATATATATATATATATATAAACCTTCTAGGTTAATAGTGTATTTATGGACCAGAATGAAAAGTAGAAACATAATCCTCTTTTCTTCTTTAGTGACAACTCAAATATTTCGAGTGAACATAACAAAACTAATAAGCGGATTATTATTACGGCATCAATAACATCATCATAATTGATGTGATAGCATATACATATATATATACATATATATACATTATGTAATATATATATATATATATATATATATATATATATATATATATATATATATATATATATATATATATAAACATACACACAAACACATGTAAAAAGCTGAAAAAGAGAGAGAAAACAAAAACTCAACCGGAGATGACTGCCACTTTAAGCGCCACCGCCATAGGAATTTTGCAATGAGTTTCACTGACACGCGGGATTGGGTCAAGTGCTTACGGTAAGAGTGCCAGTTGGTGGCATTGTTTCCCGCGGAGGAGATATTTTTAGCAATGGGCGGCGGGTGAGGCGAGGATGGTGGGTGGTGAAGGGGGGAGGGAGGGAGGGAGGGAGAGGAAGAAAGAGAAAGAGAGAGAGGGTGGGAGGGA